ATTGCAGCTTATTTGTGTATGCTACTTTTTTTATAAGAATATAGTCATAGTTCATTTCAATACGTTTTGCAATAAACATTGAACCAGTCCGACCCTCGACTAGTACCCATTTTTTTTTTTTGGCCCACTGTGTATTTGAATTAAGAATATAGTCTAAACCATTTGGGTATGCACTTTTTTATAAGAATATAGTTCATACCTGTTTGTATCTAGATTCTGTGATTTTTATACAAAATAAACACAATTCAAGTCTGATCTAGTGATTTTATTGTAAAAAAAAGAGGCATGATACAAAATAGATCAGGTTTAGGAGGACCCCCGCCAGAAGAGTAGTCGGCGGGACCCCAATGGGACAGGACATAGGGTTGGCAGGACCCCCGGCAGGACAGTAGTCGTCGGGACCCCCAACGGGACAGGACATGGAGTTGGCAGGACCCCCGGCAGGAGAGTAGTCGGTGTGACCCCCAACGGGACAGGACATAGGGTTGGCAGGACCCCTGGCAGGAGAGTAGTCGGTGGGACCCCCAACGGGACAGGACATAGGGTTGACACGACCCCCGGCAGAAGAGTAGTCGGCAGGACCCCCAACGGGAGAGGCTAACAACAGCTAGCTCTAACATCGAATAGGACGTATATTTACCTTTTTTCTCCTAAGGAATCGGAATCTGTTACGGTGGGTGAAGCAAGCAGGACCTAAATGCAGATTACACTGTTATTGCCTTTATTTCAAGGATAAAATAATAACTTGGACAAAACAGAACACTCACCGGTGAACTCAGTCACAAACAAAAGACGAACCAACACTGAACACAGGAAGAGACAAGACTAAATAAAGGGAGGGGTAATCACAAGACGAGAAACAGCCGGGCAGGGGAGGAGAAACACAAGGGTGACAGGTGAACACAATCAGACAATTAGACACACCAGGGAAACTAACGACAGGGGGAAAACACAGGAAGAAGGACCAGACAATATACCAAGAGGAAAACATGACAGGGAGAACAGCAAAACAAGACATACAAAACGTGACATAACACAATAATCGTAACAGAATCTTCGTTGAAGTTGATGATTACGATTGTAAAGCAGTTTTGAATGTAGCATATAACGACTGTAAAGTTGGTAGTAAAGTCGTCCCATTTCTTCCATTTCGTTTCGACAGGGCAAAACCAAAACGAGTAGTGCTTCAACACAATCGGCCATTGTTGTTGTGAGCTGTGAGGGGTTTCCGCGCGGTTTGGCCTTATGAAGTAGGCACGCAAACGGTTACGTCATGACGCAAACGATGACGCAATGAAGCAGCACCAGTCGGACTCTGGGCGGTGTGAAAAGAGCCGAAGCTAAACCGAAGAACCGGTTCTGAACCTGAAAAGCGCTAGCACGGAGCTTGAACCGGAGTTGCGTTGGTGTGAATGAGGTATGACACACTGCCTGAGGAAGGTTATGTGTATTTTGTCATTAACTTTTTCATCACTTATTTAGGTGACGATCCAACATTCATGCTGCTACTCTTGTTCAAACTGCATCCACCAAACAATATGATTTACCTTTCTCCACCTCCCGAAAAGAACCAAAATCTGACTCGGTGTGAAATGTATTTTTTAGCTGTTCTGGTGGCATTTCCTTGCGATCTTCTTCATGTCATCAGTCTGAATGAATATTTATACGGGGCGTTTCTTTGACTATTTATAGGCAAATACGGGCGTTAGGTGAAGCCCGCAAAAGCAGCGCCGCATTTCAAGTTGATTGTGATTTATGGAGGGAAACCGGCGTAGGACGTGCGTGCGCAGTGTTTTCTAAATCGGAATATTTGTGCGTATTTACTTTCTTTGTCCTACGTACGCCACCTTCCCACGTGAATCCTACGCAAAGCTTTATAAATGAGGCCCCTGGACTCACACCTGACATCATGTCCAACTTCCGGCCCATCTCCAATCTCCTCTTCCTATCAAAACTAATAGAACGTGTTTTTTAGGCAGCTAGGAAATAGCTTCACATCTCAAATCAAAAGTGCTAAGTCTAAGTATTATCTGTCAGTTACCACAAAAAACCTGAATAATCCTAGACCTACTACACAGAGCTCGCCACACACCACTCCTACGCCCGTCACATAAAGACCGTACTAAACGTCAAATAAATCTTCACACCTACTAACTCGGGTATGTCCTACGACAATGTCAATCAGGTCAGAATCTTTGCCTACTTACGCACGCGAATCCCAAGTCGTCGGCCCTTCCTCTCACGGTCCCCATTACAAAAAACTCACACTTCTTCCGTCATAAACCACTATACCAAATACACAAAATATTTAAACTCGGACCGAAGTTTTCTAATGAGGTTCAATTCCACTTACACTCCTCTCCCCCAATCGCACCGCAACAGCTTCCCACTACCAACTTCAAGACCCACACACACCCTACGCCCTACCCCAGGCTAATACTAGAGACTAAACAGCGAACAAGTCACTTTCTATCAAACAAACGTAGGCCTACACTAAAGACTCTTGTTCAAGCCACTTCCAGACCTCACTGCCCAACACCGTCAGTACACAGAAACACCTCTACATTACACCTACCTGTTGGGCGCGCGTCGTCGCTATGACCTTCCACACACAGCCGCCTACTTAAATAGGTTCCCACTCTTATACCTCCTACTTCTCCCTGTTCGTGTCTTGGGACCCCCTACGGAGCCCTGTCTCCTCGTCGACCTTTTCCACGTCATAACCTGACACAACCACTCCATCCTAAATACGGTCCCTCTCACGTCACTACAACCTCACTACTAAGGGCTACCCATCGTCGTCCTACCCCCACCACTCAGCTTGCGACGACACTCAGGACTCCCTCTACTCCTCTCCTCCTCCACAATCACTAAGACTCCTCCCGACAAAGACACGAACAAAACACGTCTTAAGGCCTAACTGTCGCCAAGATTGCCAATGAACCTCGAACTACTTCCCTAAAATACAACCACTCATGTAAAGAAAGTAAAAGTTTAGAAATAAATGGTCTCCACGGAAACTCTATTAACTAGACTAAAAAGTTCCCTCTGGCGTCGTTCATCCAATGTGTACCTCGCCTTTTGGTTACTTTCCTGCTCCAGTCACCTATGATAGTCTCAAATGTCCCCGATGTCACACTGCCTTCTGTTGTCATAGCTCCTCCGCTACCAGTCGGATAAGATGTAAAACTTCTAGACAAGTTCGTCACCTCCTCCGACCGCGTCGCTATTTCCGACGCACTGGATTCCAGTCACGCCCGACCCGCTGCCCCGCTCGTACATTGTCTTTGTGTAAGTAGAAAAAGTTCTACTGACGTTCCGTCCAAGACCGCGTCCGTCGATTAGAAGGGACCGCTACTAACAGCGCATTTCCAGTTTGGAGCAACACATCGATCCGCTGCGTGAGTCCCAGAACGCGGGGTACCATTTTGTTCGACCACTATTAGTCACTCGACGTGGCGTGTTAGCAACTTCATAGTCTCGCAGCCGGTTACAGCATATACATAGACTGTTCAGTAGTAGACCGCTGAAAGGACCGTCTTAGAGCCTTTGTTCTTCTTTCCCAGAATTGGCTTCTTCTCCTCTTCATAACCGATAACCGAGACTGACACAGAGAACGAGAGCTCCTCCTCATAGGCTCGAGGCCAGGTCCCCCAAGGGCACCCACAGCCCAAAGTAGCTGCCAACTCGCAACCCACGCGTACACCTATCCGCCCGCATAGACTGAACAAGTCCATTCCGTCCCGTACAGTATCATTCACGTTCCAGCCTAG